GTGAATAGAAGATGAAGCAGCCGTCAGAAATACAGTGGGTCGAAAACAATGACAAAAGAGCAACTTGAAGCAGTTATAGGGAAGGAAAGGGGAGGAAAAAGAGGGTAAGATGCGGCGAGCAGTGAAGATGACGGTAAAGCTTTTCTTATCTGAATTTCAAGTGCTAGTCTGTAAGAAGAATGTTGTGCTTCTTGTCTCCCCGGGTTTCTCGCACCACCCGTTGCAGCAAAGTTTCGCGATATCGTCGACGACTAATTAAAGCACGGAATAAGAGGGAGCAATTACCGGGGCGGTTCCATTTAATTTCGTAGTCCGATTTAAGGCATGGCCAAAGAAGGAAGTGGGTCGCGAGATCGCGTTATATATTTGCATACGCTCCTCTGTAGACCGTGTCCTGATATTCTTTCTTATTCTACTTGGTAATACGAAGCCTACGTCGTCCCTTGGATAAAAACTCCATATACAGCGGGTTAGTTTTTCCAACGTTAAGTAAGAAGCGGTTCTTACACACTGTTCCTAGCAAATATTTACCTTGCGTAATGCAATTTGACCGGTTTCATCCGTTCGCTCATCTAGAAGATGTACATTGTCTATTGGAAATGGGTGATTGAAATAAAATTGTCTTTGTAACTGCTAATACTCGATTTATTGCACTGTTTGTTTGAAATGCTCTATCGAACTGTCACTGGACACCCAAAAAGAGAAAGCTGGGGTCCGGTTATACCTACTGTTACACCCTCAAATATTTTCCTTCTTAGACTTAGCTTTATCTGTATTTACAACGAGTCACCCACTTTCACCATTACTCATACTGGACTCTTCACCTTCCAACACTCCTACATAAACCCAAAGTCCATCTTCCCTAAACCCTTAAGTAGCCCTGTGTTCTCCATTTCCGGGTTCGTTCTCTGTTTTACCACGCGCACGTCACGTAACGTTGAACGTAACTGTTTCTACGCAACGACGATCCTTCAGCGTTTTAATTCAGTGTTACCCCAATATCTGCTCCGAGTTTCGAGGTATTGGAGCAAACCGGGCATCACACTACGAACTGTTTAACCTATTGCATTGCAGTGTGCAGACTCGAAAACTAATACCAGACACATACGGTGGACGTCCTAGTGTCTTTGTCTGAAAGAACGCCGAGACATTTTTACCCTCGCTCGATTATTTCTGCAGGGTGTTCTTAGAAATAATCCTCAATTGTCGAACGAAGTGAACCGTTGACATGCACACCGTTGATTATTCTCAGATCTACAATAGCCAGGTGAAAATAAATCTGATTCGTAGCATCGTTGTGATTAAAAATCTTGGGTAAGCTGAGCTCCGTGTAATCCTGGGTTTTTCTAAAAGGATGCGGAATTTCACGATAAAGAGAACTTCTTTTTATTGTATAATTCATTCCGGCGCACTTCGTCTTTAAAAGGTACACGGTTTAATAAAATATTCCAGCGTCCCTTCATTTTCCCTCCGAGCTTTATAGTTGTACGCGACCGATCCTTTATTTCCGTTACTTAATCTTCGTTTAATTACGAATTTATAGAATTATTTGTGGACTGATCCTGGGGAAAATACTTTTATTCGGCTCGATGTTGTGAAGTGTTGATTTATGCAAGTAAACGTTTAAAAATCTAGAATATTTTGAACAATATTAAATGTACGAAGCAGTTAGTAGTAAATTTCGTAATCCTCCCCTTGATGTATAATGCGAGATATTAGAGTAAGACAATTTGGAGAAAAAACTTTAAGCAGCAGATATGCGAAGAAACTTTGGTACATGTTCTTCTTTTTTCTTTTTTTTTTTTTCTTTTTTTAGTGCTCTTTTCTACAAACTTTGCCGAATGTGTATTGTAAGAAGTTATGCTCGAGATTTTAGATTTTGTTGTTGGAAGACAGTGGTATTTTTCTTACTTTGAATTATAAAAGTACGTCCGTCGTCAGCTGAAGAAATGAGAATTTCCTTTCGAAACAAAGATTACAATTTTGGGACGTTGTAGTATTAGATATACAGTGTATAACAGCGTAAATCTAGCGAGATATAGGCTTATAATTAAACTTCTTTAATTATAATTTGAATCTTGGTTGTTTTCTTCAATAATTTCTCTTCTTTGACTGAAACAGTACGTAATCAGGAATTTAAAAAAACAGAGGGTGTTACAGTTTGGTATTTTATTTAAAATTTCTTC